CAGCAGGGATTCAATCCCGCGACCTGCGGGTCAACAGACGAGCACCTTAGCCACTGGACCATCGCGGCAGCGCGAAAAAGTGTGCGTGTGCCACCTCCCGTTTAGTCCTTGGAATGTCCGCTGGATGGCGGTGCTTTTATATGCGGAATATATCATGAAAAGATGCGATATGGTGGTACTTAGAGTGTTGTCTCGGTGGATGAACGGACACACAGATAGATGCATGGATGGACGCATGGATGGCTGCACGGACGGATGGCTGCATGGACGGACGCAGGAGTGGATGCATGGACTAACGCAGTCGTGGACGCACGGATGGGCGTATGGACGCACGAACAGTCGCACGCACGCACGCAGGGACGGGCGGGTGGAAGCCCGGACGGTCACACAAACAGACGGATGCTTTGCTCCACTCCCCATCATTCACCCCATGGATATGCTGCCATTTATTAATGATATATTCGGAACAACGCTAAAGACATGTACAAATGTACGCGCACGTGGATGTTGTATAGTATCACATGTTTGAGAGGAAGACTTCAAAGTTGCGTAGCGATATCAACCGCAACAGGGGTATTACCAACACCGAAAGCAGTCAGCTGATACGTAGAGCTCGTGCTTGTGAGGGTGCCTGCACTGGCAAGGGTTACGTAGATTAGCTTTAATGCTTGGCCTTCAAGTAGACAACTGACTTTCACCCAACGTGACGCCTGTATCACAGTAGAATATGTAAGGATATGTAATGTTTATAAAACTAGGTAGCCGGCACTGAAACCACATTTGCCTTTTCATTAACCTTACACCTGCATAAGGTGCTTGTCCGAAGCCGTTTTGAGAAATTGTGTGGCTTTATGGTAGAATATTTGATTGTCATGCTTGGTTTCGTCATGATGTTCTGATTGTCATTATTTGGTTTGATTCCTGCTACAACAATGATATTACATGCGAAGCCACTTTTGCTCGGGTATGTCCCATCTCAAGAGACCATCCTCTCCCCCACCACGCACGCTCCGCTTCTCCCCTCACCTCACGTGAGCTCAAGGAGGCTAGGTGGACGAAGGGGCAGAACACTGCCTTTGCTTCGTGTTTATTCTCCCGTTTATCTCTGCGCAACAGTTGTGCGTTCGCATATAATGCGGCGTGTGCTCGCACGGATGCACTCTCCTAGCATCGCTAGGTGTTCACTTCGCAGCGCACATGGTAATGCACACAAACGAGAGGGGGGTAACATGAGCGGTAAACAACATATACACAACTCTACACACAAAGAAGCGTGCGCGGAGAAATACAAATAAAAAAATTGGCTGCATATCCAAGGAGTGACTGATGGAGAGTGGGGCGAAGCATTCGTCCGTTCATTCGTTCTTGTTTCCGTCCGTTCTTGTGACCGTCCATGCGTCCATCCGCCCACCCATGCGTGCATCTGTTCGCGCGTCCGTCCCTGCGTTCATCCATGCATCCACCCCTGCGTCCGTTCATGCATCCATCCATGTATCTGTCTGTGTGTCCGTTCGCCCATCTATTCAACACTCCAAGTACCACCATCTCGCATCTTTTCATCATATATTCCCCACATAGAAGCACCGCCATCCAGCGGACATTCCAAGGACTAAACGAGAGGTGGCACACGCATACTTTCTTACGGCTTGCGTTTCGGGTCTACTTCCCACCTTTAACCACCTCGAGTTCATGGTATATGCTAGTTCACTGTATTCATGGCACTGCAGCCCAACGCTCGCTAAACCTTTCTAAAACCAAGGAAGTTACGCCCAGCGAGTATAACGTAGCAACCTTTTCCTGTCAGATAGTGCTCAATGTACATGCCAATGGCTGCTAATGGGAAATGAGAGACAGGAGAATTCGGCTTTTACTTTCTTACGGCTTGCGCTTCGTATCTACGTCCCACCTTTAACCACCTCGAGTTCATTCATGGTATATACTCGTTCATTTTATTCATAGCACTGTACAGCTCAACGCTCGCTTAACCTTTCTAAAACAATGGAGATTACACTGAGCGAGTATAAGGTAGCAACCAGTTCTTGTTAAATAGTGCTCAATGTACATGGCAATAGCTCCTAATGGGGATCGCAGCATGCGCGTTAACCAAAAGCCGAATGCTCCTGTCTCTCCTTCCCCATTACCAGCCATTGGCATGTACATTGAGCACTATTTTTATTGTTCAACAACGCGCAGAAAAAATCTCTTACCGGCCCAACCTTGGAGGTCAAAATGTTATACATGTTACATACTACAACAGCTGCAAGGGACGAACGGGTGCCGGTGTAAGAAGCTTCGCCCCTAAAATCCCATATCATCGCACCTTACTAAAACCTCCATAAGCAGTCGGCCCCATTGCCGAATTTAGGACGCCTCGGTTTATACTGTACATCAATGTTGTCTTAACTCATTGTCACCTTGTCCGCTCCGTCCATCAGATATGCGCGAATGCAGCCGTGAGCTGAAACAAGTGATACCCAACGATGCCTAACTTAGACTTCACCTTCTGTCGGACGTCACGCAGCCAACTATTCGCAACACCTCTTTACATATTGTGGTTACTGCGTTACTGTTAAGAGAAATTGACCATGTATAATGCAATTGGTATGTTTTATAAATTTCCCAGCATTACTTTATATAAAAATATATAATTCGCATTCATTGCTTCGGCCTCGTGCCAAAACTGTGACTATTTATTCTTTTCCTCTACCTTTATCTCTATTTCGTTTTTTTTCACAGTTTTTGAAGCATTCTCTCTTTCCGTCGTTTGTTTGTCTTTCTGTATTCCTCGCCTGTTCTCTTCTTCAATCTTTCCTCTCTATCTTTATTTCTCTTTCTTGATCCTCTTCTTTCAGCCAAAAATGTAGGACAAGACAGTCTCTCTATGCAATTCGTAGAGAACCTTGATACACATACCTAATAAAAACAGTAGACAGTTTTGACAGGCAAACCACAGAAGACATTGTTTTGACACAGCTAATGGAAACAAGAAACTTTTACGTGAACGAAGGCATAGGCGGCTAAGATGCCACCTTGGCTGCCTCGGTTTACTTCCACAAAGGTAGCCTGAAGCTACCAAATCTCATTGCTCGTGTGTCTGTCTGCGTAGGTGCATACTCAGTCATCTCTTTAATGCACCGGAGACAATCTATCAAAGAGCTTTCCTCCGTTATCAAAACGCACTAATGAAGTAGTTGCATGTGATGTGTGAAGCACATCATAAATATATTCAGGGGCAAATCACTAACACCCAACACACGCTTGTCCCGTGCACATAATTTGTTGCCTCTCGAAATGGCGCTGTACGCAGTTGCCATAACTTGTATTTCAAAAATTTACCGACAGTCTATTTCACTGCTATTGACATTCATCCCCTACTTCTAGTCACACCTTGTTCTCCAATTCTTTTCCAGTAGCCTAGCTTTTGTTACAAAGATGTTCGTCTTGCAACGTACAATTACATCACAAAAAAAAACTGCCCGTCAAGTACTGTGGGAACCGATGTTATACGAAAGATTTGCGCGGAGCGTGAAATACGTAATTTTTATTACGGCAAAAGCTTCAACGCCAGGCCTGCGCACAAGGCGCAGCACAATCACAGACAAAGCTATAAAGTGGCCTTTCAGAGCCTTTTATAAACACTCATTGGGTAACTTTGCAAGCATACTTGCTGGATACCCATTATGACATTAATAACCATAATTACTGGACAGTAGGCTGGCATTCGCTATGCTATTCTTCGTCATTCTTTTGAGAAGCGCGGTACCTGCTAAACACTTGCAAGGATTTTTGTGCCAATTGTTCATGCAGTGGTCGACGACAGTGAGGCATTATGCCTGAAGTGGGTATGCGCCATAGTTATTAGGTGATCAGGAACTAGCTTTTGTAATTTGTTGCAGTATTCTATTACCCACTTTTTACGCTATTTGCAGTAAGTGACGCATGGTTGTTCCTTCACTGTTTTAAAACTCTTCATTACTCTATTAATGCGATTGCTTTCCCGAAATCAAGCCTGCCGACTAGTAATGCGAAAAATCATCACGACATAACGTTATTATTACATGTCAGATTGCTTACTTATGCGACATTAAAATGACGTCACTGTGATGTCAATGACGTCTTGACAAATGTTCATGTCACGACATCGCATCATAACTTTGTCAAAGGTTGTCTGATCATAGAAGCAATACACAACCGAGTGACATGCTTCCGGCTTTGACGGCAGTGCGAAACCACATTCAGTGCACAAAATTTTAGAAAGCAGGTGGGTACAGCACAACACATGGGCTCAGAGAAAAAAGAAGGGGCTTTTACCGTTGAGTCGTCTTCGTTGAGGTGTAATAAACATGCAGTATTTGTTTTTGTTTTTTGCGCAAGTCGCGCGACTTGCCCATGTCCACAAATTTTATTTAATAAATGTGTTATTCGATTACTCGGTCACTAATATGAAATAGCTCATGCGTATTCTTGTTGATAATCTTTTGCAAGTACATGCCAAGGTGTGACAGTGACCTCTATTGCCACCGACAAGGAGCGATGAACAACTGTCGGCAGACCCGACAACGTAACTGAAAGCGTTTTGGTGAATTGAGAGGTTAAGCATTTACCTTAGGCATGCGGGGCTGGGAAGCCGCTATGCGTAGCTAAAAGCTCCCAGACCAGCTATGGGCAATCTATCAGGCCCATGACGCGTCAGAGATGCAAGGCATTGACGTTCCGTGTTGGGAGTCCTGAACCCGGGCCTTGAATCTGCCGAGAAACTCGTAATGTTTTTTCATCGATGAGGGCTTGCGTTTGCTTTTTTCATAGACTCACTCGCATGATTGCCCGCTTCATCACCAATATCGTCATTGCAATCATCAGCGAAGAACAAGCTGAAGAGAAGGATGCGGATGCGCGAGCTCTGCTCGTGGCAGGTCAGCAGCGTCGACGCATGGCAGCTGTTGGGCTGTGAAGACGGCGGGCCGGGATTGTCGGCGGCGGCGGCGTCGTGGCCTGTCAACATGGCGAGTAGCTTTGGGGATGGGCCCGACGAGATGCTGAGCCAGCAGACCCTGGAAGCACTGTGGGACATGCGCGGTGCTGGCAAGCTCTGTGACGGTCTCCTCAAGACCGCGGATGGCGGACAGTTTCCTGTGCACAGGGTCGTCATGGCCAACTGCAGCGACTACTTCAGGTGCACTACCTAAAAATGCTAGTCTTTTCGGTGAACTGACATCACCTCTTCTAACGGGAAGTAGTTTAGTAACAGGGCATATGAACTTACAACACCTCTTATAACGGGGAGTAGTTTAGTAACAGGGCATATAACGGAAATTATGTGCACTCTAGATTAATTTTTCATAAACCGAAAAATTGCTAAAGATGAGTCACGACCTCACACTTCCATGCCAAGTAGTTACCCTCCACGCTGATCGACTGCTTGGAATTTTCTAACCTTTCTCACGCATATTAACCACAATCATTCTATGCAATTTTTATTATCGCCGCTTTTTCGCGGCTTCACGTAATCCGTAGTTAGCCTGTATAGCTAGGACATGAGAAATTCATGCACGTGCTGCACTCGCGGGTTTTCACACACATGTGCGTGTGTTAGTGACAAATAAAGGGCCGCAGAAGCTTTCCTCTGAGGCTACGTCACCATTTCAGCTCTCGATAGACCAAGCTATCTCTCCCTAGTCTTTAAAGATGTCCCGATTGAACAAAGTGGTTCTAGCACCCTTATCGCTTCGGTAAGCTTAGTTTCAACTCCATTATCTTGGTGCCTAAAGCCATATTGTTGCTTTTTACGAAAATCTGATCCTCAAACAAGAAAGCGTACTCCATTGAACAGAACACATTCTTGGCAACGTGAGTTACCGATGAGTACTTTTCAAAAGCTAGAAGTTGTTCGTATGCAAATAAAACCAGTGAGCCTTATAGGAATGGGACACAAACGACTAGGCGTCTGACCCCGCTGCTAGATTTCAATGTATGTGGAGTCTAACGTCCCAAAACCACCATATAATTATGAGAGACGCCAACCACTGCTGGCTTTCATGAAGGTGGTCGGGTGAGGAGTGAGTGGCGAGATCAGTGTTGCCACTGGTGGCTACTTTTCTACAAATTGGCGAATTTGAAAGGCCCGTGGCGACCTAGAACCATGAATGGCGACATAACAATTTTGTCAATTTTCGGCTTAGTTCTCAAGTGAGTTATCTGTTCTATATTATGTGTGTTCAAAAAATGGGCAAAAACCTTTTCTTAAATTTTTCGCAGTTTTGCACCCTCCAGTAGAACGAGCTGTTTACATGCAAGTTAGTACGTCTGTTCTGTTTCTCGTGTGTATCTCGTAGTTCACCTATATGTCATGAAGGCACTGGTGCGTCCGTCAGCAACCTCTCAGGAAAGTTTATGTCGGTGGACTTCGCGTACCGCGAGGCGGTGGTATTCTAAAACAATTTTTAGGGGCTTTGACCGTTTAAACCTTCTTCAAAGTTTCGCTTCTGGAGTGACTCAGTGACAGACAGAGCCCATTTATTGACCGTAGCGCCAAGTGTCATGAATAGCTTGCCGACTTCTTCACTGCTGTAGAACCCCTGGCTTGGTATGCAAGTTAACATTTGTTATTAACATTTTTTTCGGTTGGGACAAAAGGACCGCATTTTTTGCGCAGCCTTCAGATACTGCAGTGAGGCGAATTTATAGCGTAAGCGCCACCGCACAGAAAGCGTGGTGTGGCCATTGCGATGATTACTCAGAACTGTGCAGAACCTGTTTCCGTTGTTTTGTACTTAGGCTGTCCGATTATTAGACAAATGATTCCTCTCAAATCAAATATACGAAATGCATAAAGGCTACGCATTTGATCCCTCTCTTTTTGTAGTGTCTGTTTCATCCTGCCTGCAACGCAAACCATTGCAAACTTTCGTTATGAGGCATAGCATTCAGGGACGCTGCTGCTGCATGCGTGCCCTTTTTGAGTGCTCCCATGGCGAAGCGCATGATGTGACTGGCATTGAAACGCCTCATCATATGTTAAAGGTTATGCATGCTACCGTAACCACGGGGCTATCATAATTGGCAGTTTTGATTACCATGCGCGCCACACGTTCGAAAAGTGGTGACACTTTTGGGCAAGTCTGAAGAAAAAAATGTCCCATATCTACATGTTACACGACAAATGTCGTGGAACGACTATACTCTTGTGTCTGGAGAGAGTGAACAAAACATTTATTTGATGTTCTGCGCAAGAAAATTGGTGAATGTTATTCTGGAGGCGCTGCGTTTGAGTGGCTCGAGCATGCAGCGGAGGCGAACGAGCGCATCAAGTCATGTCACACGTGAGACATGAGCGCTATCTGGCGGGTATCTTTGAAAACGCGCGCGGCGCGCGCCCCCGTCTGGGGGAGGATAAGGTGTAGAACGAGAGGTGATGTGTAGGTGCCACCACCGTGTCGTCTTAGCAAAGCGTTGGAAACACTTGCCTTTTCGTGCAAGCGTTGCATGCTCAGCGCAGCGTGATAAACGCTACGGCGCTAGGAATTACTTATGGATGCCTTTTCTAGTGAAAAACACACATACAGAATATTGACGTGTTCTTATGGTGCCTCAAATATGCGCAAAGATATCTTTTTAATTGACAATCGCAAAAGTATGAACGCTAAATCTTGAGCAATATTGGTAGGATCTGCGGATGGGGTTGGCCGTTTGGGGTATCGTTTGTTGCCGTTTAGGGTACCGTTAAGAGCAGACAAGCAGACAAATGTACAGACAGACAGACAGGCAGGCAGATCAAATTTTTTGTGTCGAAGGTCCCGAAGAAATACTGGTGTCTTTAAAATGGCGACTTTCTGCGACATTTCGCTCATAGTTTGCAACCTAGGGTAGAGCGTCAGCTGTGCTCGATAGCAGAAACGACTGAGCGAGAGAGAGTGGCGCGCACAGCGTAGCGCAAGCTACCCAGGCAATGGACCAACTACGGGGTGGATGACAGGGCAAAGCGATGTTTTCACACGTTCATCAGTTTAAGAAAGAGAGCAGCCAATGAAGAGGGAGCGGGAGACAGGGGGGAGAAAGTTGCGGGCGGTGATGTGGTGGGGAGCTTCAAAGTCAGCGACGATGGAGTGTGGGCCTAAAGAGCTACCCTCCTGAAAAGCAACAACCAGACGCGGAAGGCTAGGAGCACCTGCTATCACTCACATAGCTTTGTGTGTGTGTGTGTGTATGTGTGTGTGTATGTGTATGTGTATGTGTGTGTGTGTGTGTGTGTGTGTGTGTGTGTGTGTGTGTGTTTGTGTGTGTGTGTTTTATATGTAGGATTTAACGTCCCAAGACCACCATATGATCATGAGAGACACCGTAGTGGAGGGCTCCGGAAATTTCGATCACCTGGGGTTCTTTAGCTTGCACGCAAATCTGAGCACATGGGCCTGAAATTTTTCCGCCTCCATCGTAAATGCAGCCGCCGCAGCCGGGATTCGATTCCGCGACCTGCGTGTCAGCAGCCGAGTACCTTAACCACTAGACCACCGCGGCGGGACGTGTGTGTGTGTGTGCACGCGCACGCGCACGCCCGCACATTTTTCGAAAGCGGTATCCTGCTCGTTCAACTGGTGAGTAATGGGATGGCCCGGCCCTGCCCATCGGCGGCGACGGGCTTTGACATTGGTCTGCTTTTAATGGGATACTGATGTTAAACAATTCACTAGTCTCGACTGATTAAGTGTGCTCTGGCAAAACTCATTTCTATAATTTCACTCCTATAAATTGATTTATGGAAGAGAAAATCAGGGTGAACTTGTCATTTTAATATTACGTGCCGCGATCTCCACATGCGACATCACATATTTTAAACTGTAATTGCCATATGTTTGAAGACCTTGGCTTAACAAAAATCAAGAAAACTTCATATGCTATTTGACACTCTCATAAGTCAATGAACTTCATTTTTACTTATAAAAGACTGCATGGGCCTCAGCAGACACAGCCAGATTACATGACATGGCGCCAATATCAGGCTGACGTCGCTACCTGTATCTTTTTTGTTTTCTGCATGCTTGCTCGCTTACCGAAGCCTTTGTCATGGTGAATGGGGTTATCTTAGAATTTAAAGCAGTAATTTACTAGTACTCCAAGAACTGTTCTTTTTAGCCTCTCTTCAAATTTTTTTCTACATGTGCTGTTTATACATGTAGGTTTCACATTAAAAGTGTGAAGCATTTCTTTGTGTTTTGCAAGCACTTTTGGCATCTATCTTCACATCTTTCTGTCTATCATCTATCTATATATCTAGTCTCATAGATCTAGGTGCTCTCATGATCACCCCTTTCACACATGGTACACCAAAATTAGTACGGGGGGGGGGGGGTAAGATGGTTTGTCGATTACGGCTCACTGGTCATAGAATGAATGTGACAATCTCGTCGCGTAAGTCGTCAAACATTTTTCAAAAAGCAAACGTGGTGGTGGGTATGTGCCACAGGTATGCGGGTATGTAACGCAAGTGATCGACATTTTATATCTACCCAAGGACGGCGAGAACATTCTTTAATTGTTGGGCCTTAAGAAAAAGCTGTCATAGGCAGTGTTGACCAAACGAAGGCCAACATAACTGTCAATATTTCAGCAGGAATCTAACCTTAGCATTCTGCGTGGCAATCAAGTATTCCACCTCAGAGCCACGTCAGGCCTCTGATGTAGCTTTCAAATAGATCCTAATGTTCGTGTAGCGTCAATCCTCTGGCAGCTCTGGCTATCCTATTTTATAAACATTGCAGACGTGCTCCTACAATACAGCTATCATGTCGGGTTAACGCAAATTGTAGTTAGGCTATATCCTCTGAAATAGATTTGTATAGCAGTGTTGACGGCTACAATGCTCGCGCGCACCAGCGCAAACACCGTCGCTTCATATGAGCTTACCGCTTTGTGGTGTTGCTAGTAGAGGTTTCTAGCTAGCCACGGGAACACTTTACGGAAACGCGGTAATATGGAATCGGCTGACGAGTGCGCATCTGCGCTCATTGCACGCGCACCCAGGAAGAAACCGTGTCGTATTCCCGTACCGTGTTTCTTTAGCTTGCTAAAAACATCTAATATTCAGTTTGCTATTGGCATTGTTATGCAACCGTAAACAACTGCTCATATAAAACATACACGGTTTCATAGAATCTCGATGAATAAAAAAAATAATACATTCGCCTTCCCTCCACATGCCTTGAATACCATCCATTCGCGAGGTACGTGAAGTCTGCCGAATTTTCGTCCCATAAAATGTTTTTTTTTAATAATGAGAAACTATGCGAAGAAGTTTACTGCAGGACAACTACCGAACTTTTTTTTCTGGAACTAAAATACGGAGCTAATTGATTTATCTGAAACGGGTGAGCTAAAGGTAAACAGTCTCGTTACGTAAAATATTTCATTCATTTTTCATGTCTTCACGACGTCTTCCTGTTGAACAGGTTGTACAGCGAAACGCTTTGCTGAAATAAGCGCGGCATGACTCAGCTCCTAATCTCTCTCTCGTCTTGCGCTCTACAGCCACCTCTGCTCCTCCTCTGGCGCACCTGAGTTGCTCAGCTGTCACCAATATTGGTAGCGTAGCGTGCGTGCGCCAACAAAGTGTCGATACGCGCCACCTAAACGTCTTGCTGTTGATTGCTATCAGTGCTATCACTGTTCACGTTGCTATCAATGTTCGGGCAACGCCACCTGAATCATTAGCTCGGGCACTTGTCGGGCCCGATGGATGGTCGCGCCAGGTAGGCGATAATATTGCAGCGAAAGCTGTTATAACATCTCAACGAAGGCTGATTTCAGCACCGTAGTGTCTATAACCACTATCACGCGAAATAAGAAAAAAAACAAAATAAATCAAAAAGACCGAAAGCAGATTGGCAATCTAACCCTGCCCTCTGCTTTGCAGCCCAGTATTCCACCACTGATCTACGCTGGGGCTTCAAACTTCACTGCTAATGGACCCTATGTAGGCTTACATTACAAATGCTTTAGAGAAAGTTTTTCATTGTCGTCATCCACAGTATTTAAAAAAATTCCCATAATGCCTTAAAAGTGTGTAGCGGCTACAACACTTCTCCGAAGAATGACTAATGAAGACATAGCTGACGCTTCCCTATACGACACTGAAATTATGGTTGATGGAGTAGTGGTTGTCATGCAAGAGTCTTCTATAGCAGCTGCTTCGAAAGTGTTTAAAACAGGCTCTTGAAAGGCCGCTCGTAAAGCTTTTGCTGTTACTGTGCTGGGCATATCATGGAGGCATTTTGTTTATTTCGTTTGTTTTTTTTAGATTTGCGGCTAGGTTCATGTCTTAATTTGAGTCACCGGGGCAGTTCCGTGTTATATTCTTCACAAAGGCCCGAGCGTGTCCTGGGAATCACGGCAGCACCCGTGTGTGCATATGCATACGCTGGTTTTTCATGCTCCTTTTTGTTCGTATTAAGTTTGCGTCCTGAAGAATAAATAGAAAAATTATACTATGTCTTGCTAATCTGCTGAATGTTCAGTGAGTCGTCTGAAATCCAAGCACTTCAACGTTATTATCATTTTCTCAAAATGTTGCTCCAGAAATATTACCTATCATCGTCTCTGCTGCATTGAGCAATTCCTACGTCCTCCAAACGCCAATCTTAAAGAAAAAAAACTTAGTAAACGTTGGAGCAGCAGGAACGAAAATGGACTAGCTCTAACAAAAAAAAAATGGTAGTTTACTGACTGTATCTGCGATTCATGGCGCCCCCCATTTTCGTAGAAGTACGCTGGTTTTCCCATCATGGGGTGTAAAGTTCTAACCCAGGGCAGCCCCATACTAAGTCAAAGCGTGAGGAAGATTTTGCACCTCCTACCATGCCCCTTCCCTACCCCACTTCTTAGGTCACTAGGCAGGGCGATCGCCCTCATAGTCTCCGTGCACACGCCTATGCTAATGACTGTTTTCTCGCATCGTCCAAATTTTCGTTTCCTGGTTTGACAGATTACAGTAATTTTCCCACTTTTCTAAAGCCTTAAGCTACTTGCCTGTGGTCTGAAGCGCTAATAAGAGTGTAAAGTAGAAATACAAGCGTCATGGACAAGTGCTGGAGTACCTCATCTTTATTGTTTGCAAAACTTGGTATTCAAAATTGTTTACCGACTGACCCGTAGGCTAATTATCTCGTCAATATCAAAGTAGGCACGGCATGTGCATGAGGTTGCAGACATGACTGACCTGGAGCGTAGGTAAGCAATTGCAGCAAGCGTGGTTTTCAATGGCGTTCACAAAACTAAGTACCTTTTAGGGCACTTTTCGGGAGCACTTTCAACAAGGTCCGGCGCAAGGAGGTCTTAGTGCCCGGCGTTTCCAAGGAGACCATGGCCGTAATTGTGGAGTTCGCCTACAAGCGCGTCACGTGGGTGGGATATGAGAACGTGGAGCAGCTGCTGGAGGCCGCCGACTACCTCTGCGTCATGGGCATGGTCAAGGACTGCTGTGACTTCCTCCTGTCCATCATGGTCCCCGAGAACTGCATCTCCATTCACAACATCGGCAAGCTGTACAACTGCTTCGACCTCAGCTCCAAGGCGTACAAGTGAGTGGAATGACTATCCGTAATGAACAGAAAAAGTTTTAGTTTGGTGGTATGATCTCCTTAATAGAAGCGTTTACAAGGCGTTGGCTCCTCGCCAAATATGAATTCCTGCTCTATTAGTGTGTAACGCCTCCAATCTAGTTCGTGACTGTATAGTTTGAAATACGAACAACAGCAGGAGGATTCATTCACCCGTGATGTTTCTCGGTTATGGGAGAGTATACCTTTGATGAAAATTTAGCCTACCATGTATTTATATATTTGGGCGTACATCACGGCTTGCATATTTCTGATATAGCAGGTGAAAATTTCACCTAAGTGCCTGTGAGATCTGCAGCGCATGACGTGCAGGTAGCGTGAAAATAATAGGTAACAGTTTAATTGGACAATGCTTGGTCCTTGTGGTTCCACGTGGCTGCTAAATATAAAACTGGTAATTGAAAATAGAAGAGGCATTTATTTGGCCTAGTTTAAAACGAATTCATCTTAACGATTTTCGCCTTGCACCAAATATGAAGCAAATACAAAATAAGGCGTGAAAGATGTTTTGTCGTTTTGTATGATGGCCGCCACACTTCATTCAACAACGGATAACTTTTTTTTGGAAATGACAAGAAAACGACGCTGGTGACTCATATGTCTATGTACTGCTACGCGTTGTAGTCTACTAAGGCGTTTGATACAAGGAGTTTTAAAAAATTGCTGGAGTAGAAACTACCACCCACTAGTGAAGCCGCAACCACTGTAAGATGGTGGTTGCGGCAGCAATCATTCATTAGGGGCATGATGAGCTGTTCGCTTTCCGCAATTGAGAAAGGGAAGTTTATTGTACGCTTGTACATACACAAACAAAACATCGAAAACAAGTAAAGAAAGTCTATACATCTTACGAATGAGCACCAAAATCTAATTAATCACTCGGTATTCAAATGTTACTTGTCAAAAAAAATAAAATGAATCAAGTTGGTCACTTTTTACAGAACGCAACGTATTCATGCGTACTAGAGGGGGCGTATGTATTTAGAGAAATTAGGTAACGATTATAGCACTAGGTACTCTAATAGAGCCGTCCCGTGAGGAACGGTGGCCCAACACTCGCTAAACCTTGCTAAAGCCAACGAGAGTGTTAAGAAAAATGGTTTAACAATTTAGAGTATATATTACTCTACTATGGGAGGGAATGAAGCCATCCCGTGGAAAAACATGTGCTTGCCACAAGCTTTTCGGTAGAGTTACGCTGGAGAAAAAGCGTTTTTTGTCGCACGCCCGGCGAGTTCAACGTGGCAAACTTTTGTGGTCAGATAGTGTTTAAAGTGTGTCCTTGTGTTGCTAGTTTTCTTTAGCAAGCAATGAATTCAAGGCAAATTTTTATTGGAGATTAAGTCACCAATACTCGTCAACTTTGGCTATTTCATCAGAAACAACTATCTTTTGATGTATCGATTTACGTAGCCTTTAGACCAACAGGTCAAAGCCACTTGATGTCTAAATGGGCACTCCCAGAAAATAGCAGGTTGCTGAATTGTTTGGAGGGCGAAACCTGGCTTCACAATTGCTGCAAAGCACACCATTAGTTTCCACTCCAGCAATTTTTCTAAACATCATTGGTAGTAGGTAGCCACCTCTCGTTTCGTTCGACACGCCGCGGTGGTCTAGTGGCTAAGTATACTTGGCCGCTGAACCGCAGGTCGCGGGATCGAATCCCGGCTGCGGCGGCTGCATTTCCAATGGAGGCGGAAATGTTGTAGGCCCGTGTTCTCATATTTTGGTTCACGTAAAGAAGCCCAGGTGGTCGAAATTTTTTGAGCCCTCCACTACGGCGTCTCTCATATACATAAGGTGGTTTTGGGAGAAACCCCCATATCAATCAATCAATCTAGTTTAGTCTTGGGAATGGACAAGCGGACAGACAGACGGACGCACGGACGGACGCACGCAAGAACGAAAGGATGGGCGGAAGCACGGGCAGACGGACGGAATGACGGACGCTTCGCCCCACTCGTAATTCTTCACGCCTTGTATATGCTGTAATATTTTAAATGCGAAGCATTTCTTAGCGAGCTTCAGCGACTTCGAGCATATCTATCTATCTATCTATCTATCTATCTATCTATCTATCTATCTATCTATCTATCTATCTATCTATCTATCTATCTATCTATCTATCTATCTATCTATCTATCTATCTACCTATCTATCTATCTATCTATCTATCTATCTATCTAACTGCCTACGACTTTTAGCTCTCCTGGCTGTTTCAATAACGGTGCATATCAGAAGGTGTCGACGTGCTCCTACGGGGTGAGCCTACCAGCACCAGCTTTCCGTTGCGGAAGGCGGCTAAGTTTCTGAGAGACAATGAACTTTGTGTAGTGCTGTCAGATAAGGAGCGAGGTTTCACGTTTATTCCTAATTGCTTGTACCTAGAAAAGGTGGTCACAGCTATTGGCTCTGTTTTCAAATATTGTACCGACATTCCTCTAGAGAGAGTAAAAACGCAAGCCAAGGAAATGTGTCGTAAACTAGGGTTGACGCAGTTAGCACAGCATATTAGCAAAACCAATGCCGAACCGAGAACGCTGGTGCCCCACTTTCGCAACCACTCGCTCATCACTCTCAACCGTTCGCTTGCTGGGCGCCTCTCAATGCGATGGCACAAGTCGGGGAAGGCGAATGCGTGGCGGCAACAGTACCCTGTTGGCGCAAGAAATGCATTCGTATTTCCTCACGATTCCTTTCGAGAAGGTGGGGCAATTTTTAAAGACGACAGTCTATCTTCGGTACCTTCGACAGAAACATTTGAGTCTGTCTGTCTATCTCTACATTTGTCTGTTTTTCCGCCCTTAACAATATCTCAAACGGCACCAAACCGCCGACCCGATCCGCAACGCCCACAATATTGCTCAAGATTCAGCGTTCATAGTGGTGCGATTGTCAATTAAAAATCAATTATTGCGCATATCTGAGGCGCGACAACAACACGTTGATGTTTTGTATGTGTGCCTTTATACTAGAAGAGGCAGACGCAAGCAACTATAAGGACTGTAGCGTTTATCGCGCTGCACGGACAGTGCAACCTTATGCTTAAAATGGTGTTTGCAACGCTTTGCTAAGACGGCACGGTGGTGACACCTGCCCGTCGCTTTGCATTCCACACCTTATCACCTCCGAGACAGGCGCGCATCCTTCTCCGCGGGCGCGCACGCCTTCGTTTTCGAAGATAAACGCCAGATGGCATCCGTGTCTAACGTGCCTCGATGCGCTCGTTCGCCTCCACTATACGCTCGAGGCACTCCAACGCAGCGCCTTCAGAATATCATTCACCGATTTTCTTCCACAGGACATCAAATAAACGTTTCGCTCACTCTCTCCAGACGCAATACTATCGTCTTTCGACGACACATGCAGTGTAACATGCAGATTCGGGGCCAATTTTTTTTTATGAAGAAAGCTGGCAGACGCGGCTTGTGTCGATGCAATTTTAGAGATAGGGGAGCGTAGGATATGAGAGAGAAGAAGAGAAGCGCATGCGCAGGGTTGGTGTAAACGCCGCAGTGAGGGAAGCCTAGAGGAGAGAGAGGGGGAGCGAGCGCAGGCTAGCAGATGCTGCCTGCGTCGGCGTTACGACGGGAGAAAGCGGGAACGTAGGAAAGAGAGGGAGTAGCGGGCGCGCGCAGAGAAGCTATTGTTAAATTAAATCGTTCGCGAAATCGAAAAAAAAAAGGTCGGAAACTCATTGCCACAGGCATCAACGCCCATCGACGATTGACGTGCAACTAGGTGAGAAAAGAGAAATACCCAAAACTAACAATATTAGAATTTCTTTTTGAAATAGTCGTAATTTTATGTGTGTCATAGGAAACTATAAATTCACTTTGGCAATCCAGGCAGTCCAGGCAATCTGCTATCATAGCTTATGTTTAGTGCGGTGTATTGCCGGGTCATAGAGACTTCGCTCAATATTGCAGGGTAGTTTCGTGCGCACCTTCCATAGTTTATTTGCTTATGTGCTGTTTGGTGGTGTCACACTTTAGAGCTGAACTAGCTCACATAATGAGTAGATAGCAGCTCCTGTGACTGCTGACAACCCTCGCTGGTGCACGACCTGAGTGCACTCGTCTTTGGTGACGGTGAATGCGACACGCTATGCAACGATACGCTGTACTCTAGGTTTGCCAAAGCGATATTTTAAAGGCTACTGTCTCACTGTAGTCGTTTTCTACGATCAGGCAATGTGAGTTTTCGAACTGTTATGCCTTGTGCTCGTGAACAGTTGTGTCACTATTTATCTGCGATGTTTTCACTCTATGCAGGTACAGCATTTAGCTAATAAAACACCTTTGCTTCCTGAATGTTTCTTGTCAGTCTCTCTTTTCTCTAGCGTACGACCTTGGAGAGCCGTAAGTCGCAATAAAATTGGTTATATTTATTGGTGTGGTAAATAGAACCAGTTAAGGAAAAATTTTGATTGCACGCCGTATAAATATAATGCATGAAGCCGCTACTACTTCCAGTTGTGACGTCATATTTTCTTTTTATAAGTTTGTTCACTGTTAGTTGCCCCCTCCACGCGTAGATGGCGACAGTGGTAGTGAACCGCCAACTACTGGATATATGGGTTTCTACAGAAGTTACGATGTTAGTTTAAATATACCTTCGTAAAGCCGCGTTCTCGTTTGGCCTCGAAGTGACCGAAAGCGGCAAAGCTCACCGTAAATTCATTCGCTTCGCCGCCCAAGCGGCCACAAAATAGTGCCGTGAGGCTGGAACGAAAAAATTTAATCTGAGACCAATTTTCCCGCTACGTCAAACCGCATGGTCAAGCAGCAGCGAATCGTCATGCCCCAGCATGTTTCGCGTTTGTGTGCAGCCAGTTGAATCCGCCCCTGTCACTGCCGGTGCATTCACTCGTGTCTTTTCTGCTGACTTATTTCCCGAAACAACGTTTCAAAAGGCGCGATCTATTGCTTTCCAATAATCTCCGTAAAAACCTGGATAGCTGGAATTAGGTACGAAACTTGATGCTCATTTTAAAACCAGCAAAATCGAATTAATTCTGAAGGTAGCGATGGCAGTGCTGGCGTCAGGGGCAGAACAAATGAGAATACTTTTCACGAGTGCGGTTTCAGTTTTTCGGGCATTCTGTCGTTTTCGTTTTCGCTTCACTTCTCAGGTGTGAATGTGCCATAAGAGTGGTCTTGACTCACACTAGATTGAGCTCGATGATATAGATAAATTGTATTTATTGAAAGGCCCAACGCTTTACGATTTGCGTGTGTTTATAGGCACGTGGGTGTCAATCACTGCTGCGGTTTCTTTATCAGCTACCTGATGCTTCACTTCATCGAGGTGTCGAAGCGCAGCGAGGAGCTGCTCAGCCTAGACATCGATGAAGTGGAGGCCATCTTCTCTGACGAGAACCTCAACGTCGTCAAGGAGGAGACCGTGTGGAAAGCGGTCGTGCGCTGGATCGAGCACGACTTGGACAATCGGCAGCAGCACATGGCCCGGCTGCTTCGCTGCGTTCGTACGGGTCTTGTGGATACCAACTTTTTTGTCGAAAAGATCAAGTCCCACAAGCTCGTCTTAGACAACGAATCCTGCAGGTGGGTGCCGCAGTCTATTATGAAAATCGGAACATGTTTAGGCAACGCATATTCAGCGTGTTTTAAGTGTGAATACACTTTATAAGCGACCCCAAACCATCCACCGCCGTCGGCGGCGTCCGCAGTCTTCTCTCTATCTTTAAAAGAAAGAGGACTTGGCGGGCCGCAGCGCGACGCTCTACCGAATAAGCCACGGACGCGACGCTGATATCGGTGTCAGTAACGCGCCTTATACCCCCTCCCCCTTCGCTCGCTCTTCCGCTCTCCTCGCTCGCTGCAGCTGCGCGCGCACCCCTCTCTCTCGCGTGCCCGTCTTCTCTCTCAGTCTCCCGTCGAGAGCGGGTCGTGAGGGGGAGTAAAGTTAAAATCCGTTGGCATTCGCCAGTGAGTTAACGTAAACTCCCCCGTGTGATCCAATTGCGATTCCCAGGAACCATTACACCATAAAGGCACCATAGTGTGATTAACAAATATAATAGTGAGAATTAATAAACACCCCTCATAGCATCACCCCGTGTATTCGCACTTAACCATGTTCACCCTCGGGGAAATGCTTGGGAGTTTTTTGACGGTGGTGGCTTACTTGCGGCTGGCATTCCTAAATTGATTGGTACAATTCAAGCGAACTTCATAACATTTACAGCTCCCGAATCACGAACCACCCGAGTCAAATTCCAGTGACTCTAGAACAACATGCCTAGTGTTCGTGAATGTGACGTGTCGCCGCGTAGTGACACTCACTGTGCGTTGAATCTAAAATTTTTCTTGCCACATGCGCGGACTGATTCGATGCAGTGGTACAACAATGTGTAAGTATAAAAATAAAAGCGCTTAATAGAACAACTCCACTGATTATCATTATCCAAATTTTTTGTAATCTAAAAATGATTAGAATATATGAAACTTAAGTAAGTGCCAAATAATGATTACTGTTTTTGAATACTTCTCTGCATAAAACCGATATAGTCAGCGTACTTAACATACAACGCACTAAAGAGCTTGTGGTGTACGCTGGCTACGCTATTTTAGTGGAGACGATTGTTAAGCCTTCCAGTATGTAGGAAAAAAAGTGGGGACGCAAACTATCAGTGTGGTAACAAACAAATCGGTTTCAGTTAAACGTCAAGAAAACAACGTACGTGCTATTCACATGAATAATTATAACCATTCATTAAACGTTTGCCTTGAAATCTCACGGAAATTACATTGCACCCCAATTAAATATGAAATTTCTTGGGGTTGTACTTATTGAGAATACGTGGTTTATGCACTAAACCTGTTCGCTGTACATGAATTATAAATAAAATAAGCCATTCATTACTGGCAAGAATAAAGCTGCTATTGTAATATTGGCTTGTATATGCTCATTTTAATTACTGAACACTAAAAAAGGGTATTAATAGCACACACTAACGTAGCGAAGTATTCAATGGTCTAATTAAGATTGTTACGTGCATTCGAAAGTCTGTCTATTCGTCAAAACTTGAAAAGTTCATTTCCAAGGCACAGTCTGCTTAACTTTTCACAAATATATCTAAGAAACATTGAAATGGTATTCCGAAACTTGTGAATATTGGTTAAAAACGTTTTGTCTAAATTTTAACACTCCTTACTATTTTCTACACATGCATTATGACTTTGTAAGAGAGGAACAAGCAATCGCCTTCAAAATCTTCAGGGTAGTACGCCTTGCACCTCGAATCCTTGATTTTTTAAGAAGGAAATATATGAAGTCAAACTGATCTTTAAGTAAGCCGAACAGTTTTGCATTAGCATGAATGTAGGTAAAGTAAATGGTCTCATTTTTGTATTATTTGGTCGTCTTCTGAAAATATTACTCGCATAAAGATCTTCACCAGCTATTAAAAGGGCATGATCTAAACCGCTGTTATGTGTTATGTGACAGGTAATGTGTACATAACATCGTATATCTTACAACTACGTTTAACCTAGTGCATGTTATCATTCGATGTAGTCACTTTATATATCGTATAACTGCCACAATTTTGCCTGGTTGTAAAACAGCCTGAGAGCCACTGAGCTCATTGAGTGTTGTACTGCCTAAAACACGTTGATCAATATTTGGCCTGTGGGCTCGACGAACACGAACAGGTTATTCCGGATGCAGTACGAAGAGACGTACTTGTGGTAAGTAGCACACAGAGGTGTTCTTGAGTAACGCGAGAGGAAAAACACCTAGCCCTTATGGTCTTCTGGTAGTTGATTAACAACACCATAATAGAGGGTAATTAAGCATTGCCTGAACTGAAGCGCCAGTGACGCTTCTAAGGAGTATTGGTGTGATGCGAAAGAGTAATGTGTAAACCATAGCGACCACAACGTTTTTTTTTTTTTTTTCATGATGGACAACCAGACGTGACTTAACTGTCAGCTTCGATCTCTGAACTACTCAAATGCTATGAAACGCTAACCTTCGTGGGACAGGCTATATAGTAAGTGCCACTTGTCTTTCTTTCTCTCGCACACACAGGCAGTTGGTGATCGATACACTACGGTTCTTGTATGACCTTGACGTGGTAGTGCACAACAATGAAGTGCCAACGCCCATGTTCGCTCGTCCGCGCATCCCGCATGAGGTGATGTTCGTCATTGGTGGTTGGATGCACGGAGGCCCCACTACTTACACTGAAAGCTACGACACAAAGGCCGACAGGTGGATCAAGGTTAGTATATGCAGAATGGCAGTTTCTTTGCTCGGTTCATCAAGGAGCAGTAGGCATTCCGCATCACGGCAGGCAAACGAAGCAATTTTGTTTCTCTCTCCTGCTTTGTGTTGCGCAGTGTCGGACGCATGGGCGTACAAGCCGGAGGGCAAAAAGAGCGCCAGCCCCCCCCACAGAGAAAAGTTGGGGGTTGGGGGCTGATCCCTTCCACTTCTTCCACTTTCGACAGTAGCCACTGTTGGCTAAACTCTGGAGAAACAAAAGCGAAGTTTTTTCTTTACGACAGTATTCACTCAATTATAGCGTTACGAGGGAATGTTGCGATTTAATTTTTCAACATTTCTTCTGCGCCGATTTTCTTTGTAGGCTCCTTGTGGTGCGGCCCGTTGATGCGACGCTTTCGCGCCTTGCGCTGTGGCATTACAGAGCAGGCTAGCGCTGAATAGATGCCCTATAGAAATTCATCAATTGCTCATGCATTTACTTTTGTGTGACTGGTGAATGAGGATATGAATGGGAATGAGCAAACTTCACCGGTCAAAGCATGTGCTGCTTCAGCAAAACCATTTTCTTCATCGAGGCTGCTCTGTCAAATCTTCTGTGAGCCGGTGAGTGTGATTAATGTTTTTTTATGTTTTTATGTTTTCTAGAAGTGCCATGAAAAGAAAAACGTTTCCGCTTTAGTCTCCGATGAACCTAATCAACCTTGCTTACGATAACTTGGAGCTCTTGAGAAGTGGTGATGAATAAACCAGTGAACTCGAGCACAGCGGCAAGCTAAGCTTGTAAGCTTTCCCCGCAACTTGACCCACCAGACCCAAGATAATATGAAAGACCACGGTTATTAGCACTATGGGGTCGGCCTAGTTGGTTTTCCTTTAACTTGGATTGTCCTTTACAGATAAAAATATGCCCCGCCGCGGTAATGCAGTGGCTAAGGTACTCGGCTGCTGGCCCACAGGTCACGGGATCGAATCCCGGCTGCGGCGGCTGCATTTTCGATGGAGTCAGAAATGTTGTAGGCCCGTGTGCTCAGATTTGATTGCACACTAAAGAACCCCAGATGGTCGAAACCTCCTGAGCGCTCCACTACGGTGTCTCTCGTAGTCATAATGTGGTTTGGGACATTAAACCCCACATATCAATCAATTACAGATCAAAATAGAACCCGGACAGCAAACAAGCCCACATGTTCAGCCCACAAGTGCAGTGTTTTTCGACTGTCTGTTTTTTGGACTGTCTTTTTTTCGGCTGTGTTTTCGACTGTGTGTGCACCACACGGTGGTGAATTAACCCATTTGAAAGGAGCATGGCTTGACAGGGTAATTTTGTGAATTGTCAGGTCGTCTGGCGTGGTTGCGGCGTCCTTATGAGGCAAATGGTGAGTGAGAGGAGCGCTTAAAGAGCCGCGTGATGGAAAACCGCGTGGTGGACCGCGTATGCGAGACAGAATTACGAGCATCAGGTCGGTGAGCAACGTCTCGCGTCATATGCTGGAGTAAGGACTTTCGAAATGCCGACTTTCGTGCAAAAGGGAGGCGCGCTTGATGGTTAGGTTTTTCCCAACACACGCAAGGTCTTCTGAAAGTAAACTAATGTGCCAGTTAGTCTTGAGCCAGTTGTCGATTTACTTTGGGCTTTCGAATGCTTGAGGACTGCTTAGAGAATTGACGATAGTGTGCGGTTTTCTCCTTATGGCTGGCAATAAGTAGGTCTTGGTCATAGTCATTAAAACGGGTGATCGTCTCTTCTTTGATCTTTTGCCATGACTCGTCCTTTTCAAAGATGTGGGTGAGGTAAAACTTGAATGCCTCACCGGAGACGCAGTCAGTGAAGTTCGTGGTCATCTCCCGTTCCGACCATGATGCAGCGGTAGCGTGGAGCTCGAACAGGTAGAACCAGTCCTGCACAAGTCCATCGTCCGCTGCTCCGGTGTACTTGGGTATGGAAAGGTTAGTCGATGGTTCTGTCATGATGCCGGTAACTGCATGCGCCCGGGATCACCTCTTCTGTGGTCGATATTCAGTTGAGGCGTATTGCCGGTGGCTTCGTGAATGATGTGGGGTTGATGAGCGGCGGTCAGGTCTTCATCCTGTCGACTCTTGTGACGCTAAGATGAATATATATATATATATATATATATATATATATATATATATATATATATATATATATATATATATATATATATATATATATATATATATATATGAGATCTAACAGACAGTAATGCCAAGGAATGTACAAGGGAAGTTATTAGAACCAATAAAATGTAAATAAGAAAGAAAAGTGGATGAAAAAATAGTATTCCAGCTGACGGGTAAGGTAAGCTTCCCCCCCTCAAGCCAATGAAAGGTTGGTACGCCACTGGTCGGGTGTCGCTTCTTTTATCTTTAGGAAGTGCAGAATTACATTTCCGGTGCACGAGGGAATGGCGTGATAAAGCGGGAGGGTGAGAGGACACGGAATGAAAGGTGCGATTGAAAAGCTACTCAATAAAACATGTCTCATTGGCGAGCCCGTCAGAAAATAAAAGCGAACGTTGGTGAGTGCAAACGTCGAGAATCGTTCGTCATTGCTCTCTGAAGAATAACGCACGTGGCGCCAGGTTTTTGCCCACCTAGGCCACATGAAACAACTCATTGGGACAGAAAAGCTTCAACGTCGTTGTCACAATTTTCGTTAACCTGTTACTTTTCGAAATTTCATCCTACTTCAGCCCCAGTGAAGCCGGTGAAAATACACTAATTTATTTTACTCTTGCACCCAAGTGCAAAAACGCATTCATATACGCCCGCTCCCCTCCAATCACCTGTCGGTGTAGTCTTGACAACAGCTGCGGGCTTGGTTGCGTCACACACTTTACAAGGGAGCCGAAACGGCTCCAGCATTGAAAGGTCAGGTGCTATCGTGGTCGTTTTATCAAGCCAAACCATGGATCTAGCCTAAGGAAGGCTGCTCCCTGAAAGCGATCATAATTTTCACCTATAGCGCCTATTGGTTTCAAGCACCAAGAGTCTTGATGGAACCAGTTGGCGCAATGAATCGAATTCACGTACTTTTCACTGTATCGAACATTATATATTATCGTGAAGCTAATAAATTGCCTGCATTGATGAGCGGTGGAAACTTTGTGGGGCATAAATGAAATAACAGCTAGCCCGACCTTTTGACTTGAAATGTCGAAAAGAACTTGTTGTCGCACCTTTTTTTGGTACACAGGTCGATGAGGTGGATCCCGATGGTCCTCGGGCGTATCACAAGTGTGTGGCCATCGGCGAAGAAATCTACGTCATTGGGGGCTTCAATGGCGAAGAGTATTTCAGCAGCGTGCGATGCTTCAATGCAAACACAAAGACATGGCGCACCATCACACCCATGCATATGAAGAGGTGCGTTTCTTCGTAGAAAAAGCTGCGATCTGGCTGATTCAGTATCTGTAACCTTCCATGCTGGCTATTGAAGATACAACACAGGAAGGAAAAAATGGCACTAACTCAGAGGAGAAGCACTCGTCTTGTGCATCAGGGTTGTTCTTTGTTCTTTGTTTAATTCACACGACCTGATACTTATGATAGTGAAAAAACTTGCCTAACAGCAAAGTTAGTTCATTGATATTCAGATTTCTCAATTTTCTCAAATGGGACCTTGGTACCTCCAGGTGAAAGATATGCTGTTTCTTGCACTGCGTCATCGTGCTTTTATTGTTTTTGATTCATTGATGCATAATGAGGGCTCGTAGGACGCACATTGCAAGTGATATGATGCCGTGTGACTGTGTTTATCGCCCTATATTTTCATGATCGGTTATCAGCGGAGCCATCGAGGCAGGTTCTAAATTCTTATCAATTGTACCGCTTCCGTAGGGCCCCGTAAGCATGCCGTTTCCCAGTTCATTCAGTCACAGTAACACTCTACGGAAAAAAAGCCGAAAATACGCGTTCAGCCATTTACGAAACGTCCAGGTGCTTGACGTCATAGGCGTATCACAAATAATACCATAATTTGGATGTTATTAGGCTACTCTCGTAGAAAAGGCCCAGCCATCTTGACAAAATAATGTGTGACAAGAGTTTTTGCGTGTGTCTGCGCACTAGTTGGCATGGTTCAGTAGACTAAATGCTGCATTAGTGCGTGCTTGCCGGTGCACACCGATCAACTGATGTGATAAATTTGACTGGGGTGAAAAATCACAGGTTCCTTGTGTGTTAGTAAAAAAATGCCTTGCGCGAAATCGTAGGTGTACACATAGGACAGTCAATGACCGACACATGTTTTCAACAATTTCATGTTTTTTCACAGCTGTTCAATTTTACGCACAAGCAGACACGTGTCGGCACAGGTGCTAACATGGTCACGAGTCATCAGGTTACAAGGCACGCAAGAATTTCCACTCAATATGAAATAACGAAATAGACTCGCTGCTTAAGCAAGGAGTGCCTCTTACAGATATATAAAAAGAACTCGTCCATCACTTCACAGGCTTTGGTATTAGTACTCCTTCCGAGTATCGTAATACTTCAAAATATTGAAGCCACATGCAAGCATGTCAATGCTGAGGGAAATACACGTTCCCGTTGTTTCTAACATACAGCTCATGTTTCGTAGTTCATTATTCTCTAACTGCTCGGCAAGTAATCAACTCATCACCATTGCTCATTTGATGTGGTGGTGTATCCGTTTCGAAAAGGAGGCATCACGTCAACGAGACAGACTTCTGAAAATGCATTGCAAGTTGATGCCCTGCACAGCAAATCCGTCAGTCCACGGAGCCCTTGAAGTGAACGGCAACATTTGGTTCCCTACCCTGTCACGTGTGTCAATGCGCTCGGCGGGTTCTTAGAAAGCCTCTTCCCAGGAAACGAATGAAGCTCATCTGTATGTCTGTATGTCTGTGCATTTCCTTGCGCAGTCGTTCACATAACGTTTGGTGTGTACGTCAGATTTCCCACAAGATGGCGGAATTGTGTATATGAAGTCAGTCGCGCATTGTGCATTTGCAGCACTTTTGGTTTGCTCAATCGCTGTGTTTTTCGTGTGCTTTTGTACCACAAAAGATTCTAGTACAAAGCCCAGGATGAGAGAGCGGTCCCAGGATGAGAGAGCAAAGCAACACTCATGCCGATTATACTCAGAGGGAGCCCTTAGGTGGTAAAGAAGGTAGAAGCCAGAAATGTGCACTTATTGAGTATGCGCCTTTCTATTTTTTTTTTCAAGTAGGGAGTAGTTGTTTTAAAAGAGAATGAACGAACGACGAAATTGTCTCCCGCAAAAGCGAAACACGTCAGCAGTGGTTCACAAGAAAAGGCATTAAACGGGATCAAAAATAGACAGGAGAAATTACAGTATAAAAGAAGGTTGAATTCATTTTATTGAAACAAATACAATTTATTTTTCATTCACACTGTAATTCTAAACAAATAACTGCTAAGCCAGCAGAAAAATGCTAGTGTACGCCCATAGTCAATATACATATAGCAGCTACAACATCATGTGCATATGTAATTCTCAGGAACTAAATCTCAATGGTGAGGCGAAATACATAAGCTTCACATCAAATCAAAGCAAAGGGTGCATTCTAAAAAAACTGTTTAGCACAGCACGAAATACATCAGAAGTATAGTGAGAAAATCAAATCTCAATTTTTTAAAGCTGCAATTTTTTCACAGCAGGGGTTAAATGATTAGCCATTTTTACTTTAACGGGTACTGCATTCCAAATTTTCGAGGCATCAAACTTGAACAGTCATTGACCGTACGTGTTCCAAGTAATTCGCGGGTTGAAATTTATATTTGTTGTGTTCCTTATGTTAGATTAGGTGTAATGAACAAACTTTCTGATAACAAGTGGTTTCCGCGTAAATTATTATTTATGAGAATGGCCACTTTATTTCGCATGCCATGGAGAATGGTAGTATACCAATTTGCTTGTAAACGAAGTTAGTATCAATCTGTGGTCATGCGTATTTCTTAATGCGAGAGGCCATTTTCTGCAAGTGAATGATAGCATAAAAGTTTGTGTTATATGTACCACACCACTATTCAGAAGAATATATGCTGGTACAGTTAAATATTGAAAAGTAAACAGTTAAAATATGCTAAGATTGAACCGTTTCCTTTATTTTCTTAGCAAAAAGCAAGCGGAAGCTAATTTGATGAATATACAAGGTATGTGTGGTCACCATTGCAAGTTGCCGTCCAATAATACTTCTAAATCTAATGCGTTCTGTACTTGTCCTGTTGCTCCATCCACGAGCTGAATTTTCAAGCTTGTTGTATCACATTCGGCATAATGGGAGCGGAATACCACGTACTTTGCCTTGTTGCTGTTCCGTGTTTATTTATTTAGAGCAAGCGAAGTTGATACGCTTTATAGCTCGCCATTTATTGTATCTGCAATTCGCAAAGACATTCGCAAAGAGATTCGCAAAGACCTGAAAATAAAAGTAAGGTATCACGGCATAAATACCAGATTTTCATGACCTTATAGCTGATGGCAGGTCTTTCAGTAACCTATAGCGAGAGCAGTTTGGACTCCCATCTTTTCCTTGCGAAACTGCCTCAACAGTAGTGTAACATTGGAAAGAAAATGAACGGAGACCTTTACTTTGTTTTTGACCATATAGGTAGCTTGAAAAAAGTCTCATTGTAGCGTTGCTAATGCCATACGTCTGTACTTATTTAGAAGTATACAGAATGACAGACTGTGTCAAGTGCTTTTTTTTATTTAAAAGTGTCCTTACGATAAACTCGTCCTTCTGTAAAGCTGTGGATCTGTTCTGGCTTCTGTGCTCAAGACGTTGATCTATTGGTCCGGAAGCCATGCTGAGACTGTTAGAAGCTTGTTTTGTGGTTAGAGTTCGTGCAAGGGGCCCCGATCGGTCAGCGGTTGTCGAAGAGAGGCCTTCACGGGCGGCACAACCATCAGCCGTAAAATTCACCAAATGTCTGCCTGCTCAAGACCACCACCGCAGGCTAACCATCTTTTGCTAATAACAATGTTTACTGGTCACTATTCTGCATTTGCGCCACACAGTTATAGTTAAGAACACCAGACACTGTGCCCGTTATATTTGTACTCGATACTTCATGATGAAATAAACATTCCCAACATTCACCAGGTGCTACGTCAGTGTTGCGGTGCTGGATGAAATAATCTACGCCATGGGTGGATACGATGGTCGTCACAGGCAAAACACGGCAGAGAAGTTCGACCGCCGCACAAATCAGGTGAATAACTTGACTATATTCACTCAAAATGCATATCACTTAATAGTATTTACGTGCTAAAACCAGTATATCATGATGAGGCTGACCGTAATGGTGACCTTCGGAAATCTCGACCACCTCGTGTTCTTTAACTATAGCGCAGACATTGCTGAGTACACAGACGCTTTACGCCATCTAAATGCTAACGCCCTGGCAAGGATCAAACACATGAACTTAGGATGAGCAGCTGGGCACCGTAGTCACTGTAATATTATGGCAGATCACCACCTAGTAGTTAATCAACAAGAAGTTCTAAAATATGGCCCAAAGCGATTCTCCGCCAGGAGTCACTGGATGTTAATGTAGTACCTAGCAGTGCATGGCCTTTAGTTCTTGGCTTGGGTAACGGCGTACTCCCGCAGAAGCGCTATAGTAACATCGGAAACCTTTACAGACTGTGGTTGAGACACAAAATTAGGCCTTTCCATACGTTAGCTGCTTCAAGCGTCAAATGGTTCTGTATAATATGTGCCACACAACAATGTGTGCAGGGCAAGAACCATCGCTTCTTAGGGTAAAAACGTGCTTGTTGACTGAACAGTAACTGCAAATTCATGGTGTGTCAGAAATTTCGGGTCCAGTAAAACAGTGCATTAGAAGCGAGTCAATCCGTAATTGTCGCGCATATGCCCTGTAATAAGTCACTATGAGCCGCATGGGCCTTCTCGACCCGGATGTCTTTATTGAAGGATTGCCCATAAAAAGCTGGCTCTATAATGGAGCCATTAATTACTACTTGAATGTTCACGACAACCGAAGACAGAAACCTGTCGGAGGGGAGATTCATGTGGCCCACATTGTCTCCAGGTAGAGTTACCAACTCTTCAACTCAGAAGGAAGTCTAACGGGTAGCCCCACCACGGTGGTCTAGTGGATAAGGTACTCGGCTGCTGACCCGCAGGTCGTGGGATCGAATCCCAGCTGCGGTGGCTTCATTTCTGTTGAAGACGGAAATGCTGTAGGCACGCGTGCTCAGATTTGGCTGCGTGTGTTTAGAAAAAGAGGTTAACGATTTCGAGTACTTAGTACTCGACTATGGGAGAGCCTAAAACCGTCCCAGAACTAGAACAAGCGGTGACGATCGCTTTTATGGCAACAATGTGCACGTTAGATAATCCCAGGTGGTGGAAATTTCCGGAGCCCTCCAATACGGCATGTCTCGTAATCATATGGGGGTTTTGCGACGTTAAACCCCACATATCAAGCGTACTAGCTCCAAGACAGTTTACAACAGATTCGACATATGACAGTTTTCGCTGTTACTGTTATGCCGTTTCTGCGTAGGCCTGCCACTTTTAATAAATATCCCCACATTTACTAGAGTCACTACAGCAAGGGGTCACTAATATGAATAAAAACGGGGAGGGGGCTGTCCCTAAAGCTTCGCATTTAAGAGTTCAACACGATAGCGATATCTTGTACCTAGGACGTACTGCAACCACTTAGTGCATGCTTTTTGTTGTGTGAGGTTACTCAAGAAGCTGTAATCAAAAAGTTGAAGGTGCTTTGCGTCAGTGAAGCTTCAGCATATGGCTCCGTTCTGTGTAATGGGTAGCATGCTACCATCCACGGGCAATTATGTCGGGAATTGTTTTCGAACTTGCTGTTCATGTTCTGAAGAGAATAAACGCAGTAATGTGTGGGCCTCTTACATTGGGTATGCAGCTTTAAACCCTGAATGCATTATGACAATCACTTGTTCTGAGGACCGACGACAATATGCACATGTACCACGTATTATTACTGCTATATTACAACTTGTATTGTGAAGCATAGGAATGCGTGTGTTTGTAAAGCGTGAAACTTACATTCACTGAATTTCTAAGCAGAGGAAGTTATATTAATTGTATTTGGAAGCAAACGTGTGGCTTTGTGGTAGAACACTAGCTTGCCACGCAAACAACCTGGGTTCATTCCGCATGCGGACCCGAAAGACTATATTCCTTCTTTTTATTGCATCTTTCATAATTTGCTCAGTCATGCACACGATAATTTTTCGCCTACAACCAACGACGCCCACGCTGTTACCGATGCCAAAACCGACGCCGACGACCGCCTTTCAGGGAAACGAGGTCTTCTTTTATTAAGCTTCACACGCGTACATTACATGTCAGGACATTGAAGCAGACCATGTTTTTTACTCACCTTGGGGCACAAATTACCTTATCAGTGAAAAGCCGGAAACTGTAGACTTTGCTTTCTTACATTCATGAAAGGAGTATATTTTTGGGATGGATTTTAAAGGACGATAAAGAAGCAGTTAGCTTTAAATTCTTACGGTGTAGAATTTCTGCCAATAGTTGACGAAGAGGGCATGTCTATTTATTTGATTATACTGTGGGGCCTTCACTGTTTATAGCAGGCCAAAGTGGCGGGATTTCATTGCGATCAGGATGCATGGCCAGCACGAATGCATTTCCGCGAAAGTATGGCCAAGTTTTTTGAACTGCAGAAAACTCAGAAGATTGTACCTGAGTGGTTGTCTAGTACCCTTGGCAGCACTTCGAGAATTTTAGTTTGTGTCAGAATGTCACTGCTTGTTTCTGTTATTCTTGTGGTTCGGTGTACGTGCCTATGAACAAGCAACAAAGCGAAAATAGAAGAGCTCTTCAATGCTACCGCGCTATATCTATCTTCATCTGCACTGCAAGCGTCTTCTATCGTCAAAATGTTGCACTGACACATCTGTTTAACGAAAAACGAATATGCGTAGCGGTTCGTTCAGGCACGACAAGGGCTGATTTTATCTTTGTGATCGGCGCGTTCATACACAGCATCGGGCATTTCTAAGTAAATGGCTCTTCCCTTTTCTGTTTCTTTATTTAAATATTTTCTTATGCCGCAATTTCTTTATAATGGAATGGCAGAAACTACCAGTTCAAATTCTTTTTGATTTCGTGGAGCCATTATTTTAGCGTACCAACGCAAACCAAACCTGACAACTATGTATTGAATTTTCTGAAGTCTATCAAACTTGCTTGCAATGTGTCCAATAGTGCATGCATGTGCTGTGGTTGGTTGAATGCAAGTCGAGTTAACCGTGTTTCTAGGGCAAGAATCCGTGCATTTCAAATTCCTTTCAACATGACAGAATGTTGCGACGGCTTTGGAAACCGCGTTAAACACGTGATCACTCAAAGAACAGTCATGCGCCACTAACACACCCAAGTAATTCTACGTAAATTTTATTGCTGTATTGTTGCTCAAAAATGACATTTTGCATGAAGAAAACATGGCCGACCCTCTGTCGCAAGACTCGGTATATCAAGAAAGTGATACGTGCCTTCCCGTATGTACTTAGGCATTTATTGTGCAATGCTTCGCCGCATTGGACATAAGCTGACCACGCGGCTCCAATCGCGGATATAAACCTTCATACGAAAGAGTACGTAAAGCATTGTACAAAGTTGCACGTATACTTGAGGCTCAATGACGATGCATGCCCGACTCAAAGGCATGCAAGCTTTGCATAGCTGCACTCACATCGCAAAGCCCCCGGCTGATCGATCAACGTGAAATTGCCAGAGAAAACAGTTTACTCTGATATATACGGGCACACCACAAAAACCAACGGAGAATACAAATATTTCTGTGAGTTTGTTGACTTCACATTTGTTTATTTAAAAGAACTGCGTGACATCTCTGTGAAGTTTCACAATCACAGTTTGTATTGTCTCTAAGAGTGCATTCTAAGCGCACAAGCCCATACCGAAAACTCAAATCAGCCCGCGCTGAACGTCAAGCCCTAAACTTACCGCGTGCACAGATTTGGGCGCACGTTAATGAACCCTGGGTGATTGAAACTTCCAGAGCCCTCCGCTACGGCGTCTCTCATAATCATATGTGTGGTTCTGGGACGCTAAACAACACATATCAAACCATCGAACACCAAACCTAGCCATGTATTCTGAGCCAAAAAGAAAAGCAATTGCCGCAAAATAACTATGAAAACCTGACTGACACATGGCGGCACACTGCACAAAAGTATACCTATGATATGTCTACAGCGTTAGAGTGGGTTTAGAATTAAGAAAAACTCAACGCATACTTAAAGTGGGTGATTCGCACCAACTGACTTCGCACAGTTGAGTCTAATATGTCTGTCGGATACAATAAAATAATGTCTTTTGTCACAACTTGTTGCTCTTAACGGGCGTATCATGAAGAGCTTTCCTATTACTATAATAGTTATGGCATCAGAAGACCCCACAACCGCTCAAGTAAACCAACACCAACGGTCATTCTTCAAAGGAAAGTGGTTCACAGCCCTACGCGCTCGTAATCACAAGAGTGTGTACGTTAAAACAGATGCTCTCTACCTCGACGAGTCTGCCCTTCTAGAGCAAACATGAGCGTCGCGAGTGACTGTAAACAAACTGACACGGGGAGTGGTCTCACGTGACGGCATCTCGCCAATACCGATGCTGCATCAGCCTCGGAGAGGTCCGAGGAGGAAGAAGATAGAGAATGCGCGTGTATAACCACTCTGGCGCGTGCTCTGGTATGAGTGGACACCGCTAGTCGCACTGCGCTGCTCTCAATACTAAAAGCGCTAACTCCTCTTTCTCTAACACACACAGTGCAGCCGCATGAATGAAAATATGTGCACGAGTGTGCCGGAGGTGAGGTCTCTCACCTCCGGCACAATAATGCACATGTTTTCGGTATAATATCGAGCGCCCTATTTAGAACTCTAAGTCGACCCGTCACTGCTTCGCACACTGCTCAGGGTTTCCTTTGTGGCGAGATGTGGGCTAGTATTTGTTTTTTTCATTAGAATTCGCTTATATTTTACAACCTCATGTTCATGACGGAAATATGTCAGTGGACGCCCTCAATGTTTCAGCACTCCTAAAGCTCATTCATCCTCTCCCCTGAGAAGGAAGCGCCAAAGCTGGCCCCATGCCACGAGCGCATCATCATGAGCGTGCCATGTAGTCTTGCTCATACATCACACGCTTCTCATGATTATCATGTTTGCACCAGCCATATATTTTCGCCATCCATTCACTTTCTGTAATACCAACTTTGGTATACGTGAGGCTAGCAAAACGACCGTGAGCGGACCATGAGAGTGGCACGTAGTCATCACTCATGACTTGCATGGCATGGACGTCATAATTTTCACGTTAGAGTCTGGCACTGTGTTCGCCTTGCAGTCATCTCATACCATACCAGTTCTCCACCAAGACATGTGAACGAAACCACCGCAAGAGCAGCAAGACCATGAAATGTAAACGATGAAATTCATGACATACATGGCTTGGTTTTCATGTTAGGACTATTCAGGTGTGCTCGCTATACAGTTATGTTATGCCATAAGAAGCTTGGTATTGATCCCATCATCGAAATGACCAGGAGAGCTAAAAGTCGTCGTCAAAGGATAGATAGATAGATAGATAGATAGATAGATAGATAGATAGATAGATAGATAGATAGATAGATAGATAGATAGATAGATAGATAGATAGATAGATAGATAGACAGATAGATAGATAGATAGATAGATAGATAGATAGATAGATAGATAGATAGATAGATAGATAGATAGATAGATAGATAGATAGATAGATAGATAGATAGATAGATAGATAGATAGATAGATAGATAGATAGATAGATAGATAGATAGATAGATAGATAGATAGATAGATAGATAGATAGATAGATAGATAGATAGATAGATAGATAGATAGATAGATAGATAGATAGATAGATACGCTCAAAATCACCGAAGTTCTCTAAGAAATGCTTGACATTTAAAAGTTGCTCTGTGCCAACAGCGTACACATGAAATGTCTTGCGTTTTTTTATAGTCGAGCAGGGGCATCCAATCGCAAGCAGACGCGAGCTAGAATCTTTAGACCAAATTCAGCGTCAATTCAGTAACGGCTTCTATGGATGCCGCACCAGTTTTTCTGATTCTGCTCTCGCCGTTAACTACTACAGCTATCACAAACATCTGTCACTGCAACGATTTATTTATTCAATAATCATGGACTTTAGTGGTCGGAATTGATACCTATCCCTAAACATTCATCTGAATTCGTTGGAATATCTACTATAGCTATCAATAGTGAATATGCTATAACTATCAAATGTGAACGTACATCATGCAAGCTCTCATATCAATTTACAGTAAGCATTCAACTACTTCTCTAAGGACAAATCTCCCTTTATTGTTATACCGCGTGCCATGACGGAGAGATAAACTAATTTGTTTTTCTACGGGGCCTTTGAGATCAGCCTTCCGAGCCTGTGACACACACAGCTAACCAAAGGAATACACCAAGAAACACCCACTCCAACGTGCGAGCGAGAGCCATCGCCATACACCCTAGTCGATGATTATTTTCTTCTCAAGGTTGTTTTTAAATATTCGCTGGCAGTACGTCAGCAAACGTGGCTGAACACGCTATCTAGAACCGATGAACCGAATGGGGGATTACAAAGAACATAATGATCTCTTCCCTTATTACCTAATTCGCTATAGGCCAGACGTATCTACACAGGATGCTATGAAAACCATTAGGACTCACGTTTTAGATAATCATACCAGAAACACCAGGGCGATCCTAGGCTTAGATATAAAAAAGCCGTTTGATATGTTCATCATGATTCTATTTTGCATGTCATCTCTAGTCTCAATTTATAGGTTCCTATTTCATGCGTTCGTCAGATCCTTCCTGAGTGGTCGAAAAGCCATTCTTAATGTTGGAGATCTAGAATCAAATATGCAAATGCTGGGAAATAGGGGCACACCACAGGGATCGGTTTTATCACCTTTACTTTTTAACATCGTCATGGCTGGTCTCTCCAGGCAGCTTTCTGGATTTTCAGATGTTGGTCACACACTTTATACCGATGAAAACACCATTTCGTGTACAGGAAGAAGTGATGGCACCGTAGAGGCTGCCTTACAAGAGGCCATCGACCCTACCGAGAGTTTCCTGGAGGACACAGGCCTTTCCTGCTGTCTGGAAAAGTCTGAGCTTCTTCTCTATAACTCGGTTAGGAAGGGCCATCGACCGCGAGGCTTTATGCCACCGCTAGACCCAGACATCCACCTTCGTACCAAAAGTGAACAATCAATCCACAAAGTCGCTTTCATTCGGATATTGCGTATGGCACTAGAGGCAACGGGCACCAATAACATCACGATTCAAAGGTTAGCAAAAAAGACAGATAGTGTTATTAGGCTCACAAGGCGGCTGGGTAATCGAAGGGCAGGACTATCAGAGGACAACTTGGTCAGGCTAATACATGCTTTTCTGCTGTGTCATTTTGCATATGTGGCTGCAATGCATGCTTGGAAGAGAACGGAAAGGGACAAGCTTATTGCAATAATTAGACGAGTGGTAAAGAATGCCACTGGGCTCCCCAACTACACCCACACGGGTTGTCTCCTGCAGTGGGGAATTCATAATACAATGGAAGAAATCGCGGAAACGCAAGAAAGGGCACAGGTAAATAGGCCGTCTGGCTCAAAAGTAGAGAGGATTATTCTTGTGGTTATGGGTATGCAACCAGCTCAGATTGGTGTTCTGTACCAAGGGTTGACGAGGGACCAGAAGAAAAGCATCGTTTTCTCACATGCCCTACGGATTGCGCATCCCCAACGAAATGATGGAAGGAGGAGAGCGCGCACTTGGGCCCATCTCCGCCAAGTCGCGGATCTCGACGGGGGTGCCTGTTTCATAGACGCGGTACAATATGATGACCAGAGAGACCGATTCACGGTTGTGGAAATCAACCATGAAGGGGTCACAAATAATGCGGCGTCGGTATGCACCAGAACTGCCAATGCAGTTGAGCAAGTTACCATTGCCTTGGCTCTTTTAAATCAGCGTCATGAACATATGCTTAGCAATTCTACAGCTGCCACTCGTGCCTTCAGTGTTGGAGCTGTGAGCAGAGAGGCCGAAAACATACTTGGCGAAACGTCGCTTGCAACCCGTACCCTTACATGGTTCCCGACTTATATGGGAAACAAGAACGGAGGAATTATCAATCTCAATGAGTTGGCATTCCAGGGTTCGAGGGTTAGCTGCCCGCGGCCATAGAGGACCTTTGGGACGAACTGGAGGTTTTGTAAACAGGTATCCGCCAATTATATACAATGAAATTGCCAAACATTTTGCTATGGATAGGAGAATCTTTCCACCTCCGCATAGGAAGTTAAACAGGGCGCAGGCCCTTACATTGTGATTACTTCAAACAGAAACGTACCCTAACCCTGCCTTTCTCCACAAGCTTTACCCTGAGGTTTATTTAACCAACTCGTGTATAAAATGTGGTGGTTTAGCCACGTTACATCACATGATCTGGGAGTGCCCTTTGGTACGCGGCATTAATACAGCATCGTCCAGAAACAAGGGAACCCGCTCTCCGGAGTGCGGACGTAACATCGCAACTTTGGGCTGTCCAGAGGGCCCACGATGCGGTGCTAGGTGTCGGCCTTACTGTTCCATTGTGGAAGCGGCCCGCCGTCTGCTAGGGCGCACGCCTTCGGACTTTCACAATAAAGTTTTCCCAAACTAAACCAAATCGTGTACGTCAGTTATCGGTTCCCTCTCCATCTGTGATCATTCGCTGTGGATACAAACTCATGGTAAAATATTGCAGCTTAAGATGATATAGAAGACATCACTTGTATGTCTCAACTGTTAGCACTGGATATGAGTTTCCCGAATGTCGCACATTCGTGCCTTACTTGCAGCAAATGCATTTAAAGATTTTTAATGAATTTTCATTTGTGGCTCGATAACTTTACTGCAGTTCAAAAATACAACTCATCTTTTCTAAGCATTCCTTTGCTTCATTGTCATTTAGACTCGTTATACTGTGTCTATCAAACAAGAAACGACCCCTCGATCAGTCTTCGTTCATTCACTCGCAGTGGACTATGATCTCGCCGATGAACATGCAAAGAAGCGATGCGTGCGCCACCGCGCACGACAGCTACGTGTACGTGACGGGTGGCTTCAGCGGCAACGAGTGCCTCAGCTCGGCTGAGAGGTATGATCCGGCGACTGACCAGTGGACCATGATTGCGTGCATGCGGTTCCGGCGCAGCGGTGTGGGCTGTATAGGCTTCCGCAACTACATCTACGTGATCGGCGGGTTTAACGGCACCAGCAGGTTGGTCTCTGCTGAGAAGTACAATCCGGAGACCAACATGTGGAGCGGCCTTCCTAACATGTACACGCCCAGAAGTAACTTCGCAGTGGCCGTGAGTAATAGCGACGTCATCACTTTGCATAGCACTTCGTATATATATATATATATATCTATATATATATATATATATATATATATATATATATATATATATATATATATATATATATATATATATATATATATATATATATATATATATATATATATATATATATATATATATAGATTGGTCGACCGAATTAGCTGCACGACTGAAATAATTGAATTTTTTATTTCTGTGAATCCTGCTCCTTTTTTATCTTATATCGTCTTTTCTTGAGAATGACCGTATCTCCAGGTACATGACAAGGCCGTGGTTCTCAGCTTGTGATCATACGTCAATAAATTTACAAATTATATGCAACCTAACAATAACATACGGCGTAGGAATAAGGTTTCTGGATTCTTAGATGTTACTGATGCTTATGCGAAAGCCTCATTTTTTACACATGAAAGTCGTCCTGAGAATCACCTACCATTCCTACTCGTTGACCGTGTGTTCAACGTGGATCACTTTTTCTAGCGATATAAAAGCAAGAAAGGAGACTTGCGCCTTTCTTACTTATGTATTCCAATATTTCAATACGGGCTGTTGCAGTATCGCGTCTTAGATTTATTGTAAACAGCCTTTCTATTACAAGATGCACGTTAGTTCGTGAGACGGCTGGTAGGGTTGTAGAAGTTGGGCATGTTGATTCTTATATTCACGTTTAATGAGTCTCCTCTTCGAAGACTTAACCGCTTAAATTGTAGTAGCAAAAGGCCACTGCATACCATTTGACGCAGCGGTAGCCTTGAGAGCTTCCGTCTCGCTTGCTATGGCAAATTTCGTCGTAGGCGTCATTGAAGGGAAGGCGCTCGCCGACTCTTTTACCAAGACCAAGATATATGTCCTCTATGTGGACCACTGCTGCTGCATTGTCGATAAGGACGATTCCCTGTTTCTCGTATATCTTTTCGACTATATGGAGCCTGCCATACAGTTTACAGCATAATATGAGTGTGGCAGCAGCCTTTCTTTCCTCGATACCCTGGCGAGCCATACCGAAACGAGTCTGTCATTCATTGTGCACACAAAAGCAACACTTACTGCGCACCACCTGAATTTCAATTCGTGCCACCCAGCCTGTCACAAGCAATCAGTTAGTTTCTTCCCTGGAGACGCACGTAACAATGCATTCGCTCAAGTGAAAACGCAATGAAGAAAGTGTTTCAAATAATACATCGAGAATTATTGACGAACGGGTACCCGATATAAGAATGTAAAAGAACGTGTCCTCCCTCCCAATCAATTCCAGGTCGGGTTGTTTCGAAGGCTTGCCGCCATCCCACATGTTTCTCGGGTCAGCAAAGTGCCAAGCCAGATTTATGGACAATTTAACTTCGCACTGCACACATGCCACCCAACAAGCTTTAAAAATCAGCTTATGAACGCAAAGAGGGGTGGGGAAGTGGGGAAGTGGTTCTTAAAATTTGAAAAGACAAGTGAACCCCGCAACTGTCTGCAGCTAAGTGCGACCCCTCAGCAGTGGTTCAAAGGTGAAGGGGAATGGGGGAGGGGGGATAATACACTTGAGCGAAGAGACGAATGAGGAAGCAGAGAGCGAGCGATGAGACCAAAAAGGAAGGGGCGGGGAGACACAGATCGTCTACCAAAATCACTTGGCGCGAATTCTCTAAATTCGCTCACGCAGTCCACTTCCGTCAACAAAGTCCGGCAGGGCTGAAAGGGCACGCTTGATTTGCGCGCGGCCACTGTTCGGGAAAGAGGGGCTTACTTGTTGTCCGAGGCAGGCTGAGAGCTCCGTAGTTTGCGAGCATAACTTGTCTGCTCGTGTCACCAGCCGGGCAATGAAGCGAAGAATCACGTAGACAGCAATTGAGAACTTGGTGTTGTCTATAACGGGCCATGAGCAGACTACAGCTGCAGTTACATCGACGAAACTGCCTACTTGACCAGAAAATTCAAGGATCACCACAAGACAAATAGATTGGTTGAATAATTGATATTGATTGATTATTTAATTGATTGATTGATTTGGTGGACGCACGGACGGATTCCCACTTATTTGGCGGCCTTCGCTGGTGATCAAACACCGTAAACTAGCGCTTTTCCAATACGCCTCTCCTTTCCGAGTGTGCATTCATGCTTGCGCAATTTCTAGGTGCGAGTACGCTATTTAGATGACTATGTCGGCCTATTTCACAAAATTTCAAATTTGAAGTTAGAGCGCCAACTTACAATCGAAACTGAAACTGCCTTCGGTTGTAAATGTCAGTTTTACCCTAAACTGAAACAGGCCATAAATAAGGTAAACTGTGGCATTCTTAAAACAATGTATACATTCCTTCCGTGCAAGCACATTATGACGTATTTGTTGTGTGCGAGCCTCACCATCCCCAACAATTTGCGGAGAGTCTTTCGGAAAAGGAAAAATCCTAGACTATTGTGTGAAGCTAGCTCTTCTAAGTAGCTTTGAAGCGCTGCCAAGAAGTCACCTTTACAAAGTGAAAATCTAGAATGAGATCTGAGGTATTCAATATGCTCACTTTTTGTTTTTGTTTATAATATTTTGCCGTGTTATCTCACGATGGTCTACCTATGTTTAGGTCGACTTACGATTATGTAAATACTATATTGTTGCATATATTGGCGAAGCCATTCCCAGTTAGGCAGGCACCCTAACTGCTTTTTTTTTTACTTCATCGTCTACTTTCATTAGATAATCGACAACCTGGTCTTCGCCATCGGTGGCTTCAACGGTGAGAGCACGACCAACCTTGCCGAGTGCTACGACCCGGCCAATGACCAGTGGTACGAGGCCACGGACATGAACGAGTCCCGTTCGGCGCTTGCCGCCTGCGTTATTTCTGGCCTGCCGAATATCCGGGAGTATGTCCACCAGCGCCGCGATAATTTGATGGAGGAAAAGCGCCTGAAGATGCTCGACATCCTCAAGCATCGAGCGCGTCACGTCCACCGCGATAAGAACGCGTGAAAGTGGACCGAGAGGAAAAGAAAAATTCGCCCATGAACGCAGCCGCAATGACCGACGCCACCGCCCCCCACCCTTGTTGTAGTCACACGAGGAAACTCCATTGGAGTGATGAACGTTATTATTTATGCGTCTTTTATAGCAACGTATTTCGTGAACCTAAATCGTGCGTTCTGGTATAAGATGGACGCTAAATCATGATTGCGCTAATTGTGTCTAGTTGTGTACAATACACGAAATTAGTATGCATTCAATTATATTTGGTAGGAGATAGTTATCGCCTGTCGAAGTGGTATCTTTATTATAATAATTATTATTTTAATCGAAGTTTGTTATTTCACTCTACACTTGAACAGACTGTTATAGTTACTGCCTCTGAAATTAGAATAAGTTTATTCAAAGCATATTTAACTCGCTTTGTTCTGTAACAAATGTGTGCAGTGAGTTTATTGTAACAATATTTGACACGTGCTGCTAATATAGTAGTGATCACTTCAGGCTCTCTAGGAGATTCTCCAGGGCTGAGGTCTCAAACAAATGTCCCGCAGGCCTATTGCGATCAACAGTGTGTTTGGGGTAAGCAACAGATAAGGGACTGGTCTCAAACATTTGGTGTTTTCGAGGGGATCATTTTCACAAAATGAACCATATAGGGTATATTATACAGGGTAGGGGGGCTGTCTTATGGAAATTTTAGGTCACAATTTGTTTAAACTGGCTGCTACGCCAATAACAATGTGAAAGCACGCGAATAATTTGATCAAGAACATAAAATGAACTCGAAATTTTTCTACACAATGAGAAGTCCACGCATACACTTCAACCTTCCACGATGTGAAGATCTTGGGTAGAAGATAGAACGACCCGAGAAAATTTAGAATAGTTTTTTTTATTATCAAAGAAACTAGTAGTGCTTAGGTTAGTCAGACATCTGTTGTGTTGTTCACCGCGAAACATGCCTTTTTTTCGGTGACACTGTTCATATGCCCCCCCCCCCCCCCCCCGCCCAGCGTGTCGGATGTCACGTTTATGCCTAAATGTTTGAAGCAGCATATGTATTCTTCTGAGACTTCAAATTTCTATTAGAGTTACTAGCAGCCCCATTTTTGTGTGGCTCTGTGTGTCCTGTTGGTCTTTTCACACTAAATCATGACTATTAGACTGCAACAGTTTACACGGTCACGTGCTCCAACACTTTAAACAACTATGTTTTCATGTTTACGTGCTGCTAAATTGTACTTGTAAACGTGCACTGCGCATGCTACGAAAAAAATTAGCAAATCCCACGTACAGTGGGAATTGATGATATGCGAAGCACGAATCGAGGAAGGTTTGGATGTGTCGCTAACCTTCGTCATCCATTGACGTCACGTAACACCAGATTTGGTATATCTGCAGCTAGCGAAACGGCCTCGACTGCTTCACGAAGAGCCCAATATACTTCAACGTAACATTGACGCGCACGCACGCTGGGCACAGCGACGCTACGTTAGAAAAAAATTGCCCGCAGCTTCCCTCGGGGGAACACTGAGGAGGATGCGGAGCATATAATTGGTTAACGGGGTGTTAAAGTGCGACTTACTTGGGTCGATGGCTAAATTGGTTAACGTGGTTGTGAAATCGGGTGTTAAATTGCGACTTACTTGGGTCGCTGGCTAAATTGGTTAACGTGGTTGTAGGAGGGGTGTTAAATGAGTGAACACGTACGACACGTATGCGAAAGGGCGGTGTTTATTTATTGCGACGAACTTTGAGCACGATGGCTTTTTGGTCGGTAAAGTGAAGAGTGAGTGGATCGGGTTGCAGCGGTCGTAGGTCGAAATTTGCAAAGACGTGGTCGATGCAGGTTCCGCGAATGGTGGTCGGCTGGTGGTGTTTGCAGTCGTCGTGCGTTGCGCGACGCCGACGTTTACGTTCGGCGTCGTGAGCTCTTCTCCGCGCTGCCTTGTCTTCGGACGACGACTTGGTTGCGGTTCCGCCAACACTTTGGCCGGCGCTGGTCGAAGGGACGTCGATCATTGCGACCTCGGACGTCGACGCGCCGTACAAACCAACCGACGAGCGGCAACTGAGCGAGCGAGCACCGACCTTGAGTATATATACAGCGCGACGGCGCATGCACTGTCAGCTGTCGAATGTTCGAGAAGAGGGAGAAGCGCAACGGCGCATGCGCGCGCGTCAGCTGCCGATGTTCTCGAAGCGCGACGGCGCATGGGCGCGCGTCAGCTGCCGATGTTCTCGAAGCGTGACGGCGCATGCGCGCTACATTATACAGCTAGCGAATGTTCGTGAAGAGGAGAAGCGCACGCGGTGTGTAGAGGAGGAAGGCTGCACAGATGGTGGAGGAGTGAAGCGCGCGCGGTGTGTAGAGGAGGAAGGGATGCACAGATGGTGGAAGAAGGAGGAGGAAGCTTGCGGACGGCGCCGCACTACAAGCCTCGAGGATTAGATGCTCCGCATCTAAAACGCGAGCAAAACGCAACCGGACGGCAACCGGCGCGAAATGTGACATGCTGCATTTGGCACCGATGGCGTTAGCAAGACAGCACTGCGCCTGCCTCTTTTCGCGACGGACGGACGCCGAACGCTCTGAAAGGCGCATGAGTTAAAGCAATGCAGCACGCGCCTGCGAGTATATGGCAGGACCGGCGCGTGGCGTGGCAACGCCAGTGTGGCGCGGTGAAACGAACGCCGGCGCTCACGCGCGCCGGGTCACGTCGAAATCTATTGACTCCTTGACTGTAGCGTGCAGTCATGTTCTCACAAGACACGCATTCAATGATAATCATGTTTGCACCAATCACATACCTTCGTGATCCATTGACGCCACGTAATACCAAAATTGGCATATTAGGGGCGAATCTCCTTATGGCGTGGCTTGGGCATCCCTCGTAGTACGTAAGCACTAGTACCACATACCCGAAATAGGTATAACATTTGACCTACAAGGTGGTGCCGGTGAGAGATTTTTTCTGTGCGTTGTTTAACAATAAAAAATAGTGCTCAATGTACATGCCAATGGCTGCTAATGGGGAATGAGAGACAGGAGCATTCGGCTTTTAGTCAACGCGCACGCTGCGATCCCCATTAACAGCCATTGGCATGTACACTGAGCACTATTGGACAAGAAAGGGTTGCTACATTATACTCACTGGGTGTAACCTCCTTTGTTTTAGAAAGGTTTAGTGAGCGTTGAGCCACAGGGCCATGAATACAATGAACTAGTATATACCATGAATGAATTCGAGGTGGTTAAAGGGGGGAAGTAGATACGAAGCGCAAGCCGTAAGAAATTAAAAGCTGAATCCTCCTGTCTCTCATTTCACATTAGCAGCCACTGGCATGTACATTGAGCACTGTCTGACAGGAAAAGGTTGCTACGTTATACTCGCTGGGCGTAACCTCCTTGGTTTTAGAAAGGTTTAGCAAGCATTGGGCCGCAGTGCCATGAATACAGTGAACTAGTTTATACCATGAACTCAAGGTGGTTGAAGGTGGGAAGTAGACCCGAAGCGCAAGCCGTAAGAAAGTGTGCGTGTGCCACCTCTCGTTTAGTCCTTGGAATGTCCACTGAATGGCGGTGCTTCTATATGGGGAATATATGATAAAAAAATGCGAGATGGTTGGACTTGGAGTGTTGAATAGATGGACGAACGGACACACAGACAGATGCATGGATGGACGCATGAACGGACGAAGGGGCGGATGCATGAACGAACGCAGGGACGGGCGCACGAACAGACGCATGAACGGTCACACAGACGGACGCATGGACGGACGAATGCTTCGTCCCACTCTCCATCATTCACTCCGTGGATATGCTGCCATTTTTTTTGAAGCTAGCGAAACGGCCGCGAGCACATCATGAGTGTGGCATGTAGTCATGTTGTTACATGACACGCATTTCGTGATTATAATGTAATATTGTGTTATTTACTATGTTGACCATTCGCGTCACAAAATACCGATTTCGGCATAAGTGACGCTAGCGAAACGGCCAGCAGCGTGGCATGTAGTCGTGTTTTTACATAACCCGCATCTCATGATTGTCATGATTGCACCAGTCACATACTTTCGTCATCCATTAACGTCCCGTAATATGAAGTTTGTTATGTGCGAAGCTAAAGAAACTGCCCCGAGTGTGTCATGAGTGTGGTATGTTGTCATGTTGTTACCTGACACGCACGACATGATTTTCATGTTAGGGCCCGTTACTTGTGTTCGCCATGCAGTTATGTCATACCATACCAGCTTTGCAACATGTCATGTGAACGAAAGCACCGCAAGAGCAGCAAGACCATGAAATGTAACACATGGCATTCATGACATATCAGGATTTTCATGATCTGACTAGTCAGATATGCTCGTCATATAGTCATGTAATGCCATGCCAAGTTTGGTATTGATACCATTATAGATAGATAGATAGATAGATAGATAGATAGATAGATAGATAAATAGATAGATAGATAGATAGATAGATAGATAGATAGATAGATAGATAGATAGATAGATAGATAGATAGATAGATAGATAGATAGATAGATAGATAGATAGATAGATAGATAGATAGATACGCTCAAAATCACCGAAGCTTGCTAAAAAATGCTTCGATTTCAATTGGACCGGTATCTGCATGTTACACTGCAAATGTCGTCTAAAGTCAATAGTCTTGCGTCTGGAGAGAGTGAACGAAACGTTTATTTGATGTTTTGCGGAAGAAAATTGGTGAACGGTATTCTGGAAGCGCTGCGTTAGAGTGCCTCGAGCAGAAGCGGAGGCGAACGAGCACATTAAGTCACGGCACACGTGAGACATTAGCGCCATCTGGCAGTTATCTTGGAAAAAGAAGCACGTGCGCGCCCGTGTCAGTGGTGATAAGCTGTAGAACGGAAGGCTACGATTAGGTGCCACCACCATGTCGTCTTAGCAAAGCGTTGGAAACACTTGCCTTTCCTGCAAGCGTTGCATGGTCAGCGCAGCTGGATTAACGCTATGGTCCT